CACTCCAGACCTAGACGCGATAGGTCGACCCCAGAAGTTCGATTTCCAGCCGTCGAACTACCGGGTAAGTGTAGCCAAGGCCTGAGATGCGGTAGCTAGGTTGATGGAAAAATACTATCAGTCTAGTGCTACCTGTACCAGAGACTAGGTTGGCATAGCTACGTCTCACTGAGGAGTGGAGTTTTCACACCACTGAGATGTAGCTATGCTGATACAAGTTTTCAATGTAGACCATCCCCTAGCTTTTATACAGTGCTGTTCATTAGTAGATCTCAAAGAACTTTACATCATTTTCCCCTTTTACAGATGGGAAACTGAGGCACAGAGAGGTGAAGTGATTACCCAAGGTTACCCAGCAGGCCAGTGGCAGAGCTAGGAAAAACCTCAGTCCAATGGTCTTTCCACTAGGCCACATGATTGATATGTGATTCCTAAGTGCTCCTCTTGTACATTTTGTTATAAGGAAATGGAGATAATGGTTGTGCTGTGAAATGTTTGCAATGTGTAGTTTTTTTAACAGGTCTGGTAAGAGAAATTTCATCCATGAGTTATGTCCCAAAACCTTGACAGTTTTATTACTGGCATGTCTCTTTCCTTCACCACCTGCCCCACCGTTCCCCAGAACATCTGGCTCCCCACCAACATTTCCAGCTCCCCTGCCCATACTCATCCCTTTAGAAGTTGCTCCTTGCTGTCTCCTGCCCAATGCTGCTGTGTACACATCTCACAGGCAGAAGCTTAATGGAGGGCTGCACACTACCTTGGTTATGTAGCCTGAGCGGCACACTGAGGTGAGACCCTCACTCCTACTACCCACCTCCAGCTGGGACCCCTGCCCCTGCTTCATCCAGGCTTCCCCAGCCATGCGCCATGCTGTTCTGCTATAATAAGCCGCCCCCTGCCCTTTGCGGATAGTAATGTAACTAGTTTCTTTATTAGGTTTGGACCAGCTTAGCTCACTGGCAGCTTTAATATTCCCACTTCTATCTGTGGATGCAACACAAAGAAAATCCAGCTCCTGTTCACAGTATCCGTGTAATCAAAGCCCAGTAAAAGGAGTTAAGAGTTTGTAATACCCATAATCCAGTTGAAGGTGCAATGTCTCTACTTGGTTTGTTCTGTTTGCTTTTCAGATCGTGATAGAAGAAGAGAACAAGTTCTTGAAGTTACTTGAGCTTCTGGGACATTATCAAGAGAAAGGATCAGTCATCATATTTGTCGATAAACAGGAACATGCTGACGGGCTGCTGAAAGATTTAATGAGAGCCTCTTATCCCTGCATGTCACTTCATGGAGGTAGTGTGCAATCTTAAGGGCTGACATTTTAAACTAGAATAATAGGATTGGGTAATTTTAAGGAAATGTTTTAATTTTTTATTTCCATACAATACTATTCTAGACCTTGGAATATTCTCTCCCTCGCCACTGTGGCCTTTCATTTGAGAGACGGATATTTTTCTCACAGTTTGAATGGAACTGCAATTGACATGGCGTTTTAAACCTATAAAATGCCATTATGCCAAAATATTTCTTTATGCGGCAGGATTACGAACCGGTCTGGCAGTAACGCATCTCTGAGAATAGTAGTTCATTGCTGCTGCAGACCAATACCGGGAGTATAAAATGGGTTTTTGTAGTGTCCACAAAACTAGTGGCTGTTTAATTTCTCTGCCGTGCAGTAGTAATTTAAAAATGTAGGTGGTGGAAACCTGTCTAGAACACAGAGTGGAGCATAAATAATTTTGCTCAGGCTACTGTAGTGCAGAAACTAAATGGTTTATTGTTCTGGAGTTAACTGAATTTTGTATTAGGTTTTTGGCATTTTAAATAATTGGTGAGGGTTCCCTGAGCCTCTGTAAGGATGCTCTTTATTATTCAAAATTGAAAGAAAATAAATGCATAAAATTAAATCAAACAATGTTTTAAAATGAGGTATTTTGTGTGGCTCCTTGCAGGTATTGATCAATATGACAGAGACAGCATAATTAATGATTTTAAGAACGGAGTGTGCAAACTTCTTGTGGCCACATCTGTAGCAGCACGAGGCTTGGATGTAAAGCAACTAATGCTGGTAGTCAATTACAGCTGTCCCAACCATTATGAAGACTATGTGCACAGAGCAGGCCGAACTGGACGAGCGGGCAACAAAGTATGTAAAAGTAATTATTTGTTCTTCTTAACTGTGTTTAGAACCCTGCCCTGTTTGTCTAATATAGTTATCCAAAACAAGGATTGGGAGAAGAGAATGTTCCTTTGGTATTTGATGAGAAGGGATCCTAGGGTCAGGCACCACAGTAATACAAATATTAATAAATAATAAAAGAATGCTGTGAGGTTTTTAGAGACATCAAGAGTAAGACACTGGTCTAAATTTTAAAGCTCTGCCTCCTGTTCTGAACCAAATTTATGTGGCACTTAGGAAATGCTTACTGGAATAAGATTTCCCCATGAGTTTGGCCCTGTTGCTGAACATTTGACACTGCTCATGCTTGGTAATGTGCATGAATGACCTTGGAAGATTTCATGTTCTAAACTTACAACCATGACCAGACTTAAATAAAAAGCTTTAGATTTAATTGTGAATGGTTGAATTATTGTATCACTTTACATGCTAAGCTAAGTTAGTTCTAGGGCTGTCAAGCGATTGATCGCACGATTAAAAAAATTAATCGTGATTAAACAATAGAATACCATTTATTTATATATTTTTGATATTTTCTATGTTTTTCAAATACATTGATTTCAATTACAACACAGAATACAAAGTGTACAGTGCTCACTTTATATTTTTGATTACAGGTATTTGCACTGTAAATAAACAAAAGAAATAGTATTTTTCAATTCACCTAATACAAGTGCAATCTCTTTTATCACAAAAGTGGAACTAGTTCATTCAAATTCCTCTTAAAAAGGAAGTGTATATTTAAAAATGCAGTTTAACAGCGCTACCTGTGCTACAATGCTTCAATAGAATAAGAGGTCAAGGGTCTTAATGGATTATTAATACTGATTAAATTCACGTTTTTTATTAATGTTCAATAGGGATTTGCATTCACTTTCATTACTGAAGATCAAGCACGGTATGCTGGTGATATAATTAAGGCATTGGAATTGTCAGGGAAACCAATTCCTGCTGAGCTTGAGAAGCTCTGGAGTGACTTCAAAGATCAACAGAAGGCTGTAAGTAACCTTTTTCCTTCTTGATGTGAGTTGTGCTTTTGCTACTTTGCACTCTTGGGTCTCAATTCTGGGCACACATAACTCTACATGCATAAGTAATCTCACTAACTTCATTGGGGCTACTCGTGTGAGGTCAAATAGGGGTTAAATGTTTGCAGGATTGGGGTCTGAAGTGTTTTCAAGACTCTTCTTGTGAATTTGAATGCTGTAACCATATGTGTGTGGCTGTCTTGAGACTTTATTTTGTCAGAAATCATATAAAAGACGAGGGTGCTGTAGTATTTATATTTTATTTATATTGGTCACACCATCACAGTATTTGAGCACACGGTTCAATTTAAAATAATGTGTTTCTTGTCTGCCAAAGAGAGAATTCTGTTATCTTAAGGAGTATTTTAGTTTATACACTTGTATTACTCAAAAATAAAAGATTTGTTTAGATCTACTCAATTGATATAAAATAGCTGTTAAACTTTTCATTGTAAAATAGTTATTTCAAGGTTTGAAAAGCCTGATAAATGTCCGAATTTTTTGTCTTGATTTTTTTTTTCATTTAACGTCATTATCAGTTAGATAAATAGTCTATATTCACAATTGTTTTACTACTTCTGGAAGTGTCTTTTAAAACTTTTAGTGTTTGAAGTGACTTTTTAAAATAAACATACCTGTTTTATAGGAGGGGAAGACTATTAAAAAGAGCAGCGGATTCTCTGGCAAAGGATTCAAGTTTGATGAAACAGAACATGCTTTGGCTAATGAGCGAAAGAAACTACAAAAAGCTGCTCTTGGCTTGCAGGATTCAGATGATGAGGATACCGCTCTCGATGTAAGCATTAGGGGGAAAAGTGTTAACATTTTTTAAGGGATTTCACTGTATTCACTAAAATAACCCATACAAATACAACTCTGTCTAATAACCGATTGCAGAATGCATGGATTTCTGCTATTTCACACATCGTGTGTAAATCTGTATTTCCTTTAATGTATGAGGGTATAGACCTCATAAAGAGTTAAAAATCTGCCATTTGTCACTTACTAGTATTTTATAAATAAGATAAATACGGATATTATTTCATTCAAAAGGGCACAAGCAGTTTTTTCACCTTTGCAAAGTTAATCATCTTGCACAAAATAAAATGGTTGCACTCATTCACAATAGTCTTGTTGTATAGTGCTTGAAAGAAATGTATAGCAGCTTTTTCCATTTCTAAATCCATATAAGGTAATTTTCCTTAATATTTGCTACCTTTTCCATGAACTGGAAAAATAATCTGACTACTGGTACAAGGGCTGTAGAAGAACTGCTGCTGGAAATCCTCCCTCACAAACGAGCTCTGTAGCCTTCACAATGTGAACGCTGCCCCCCTCTGCCTCTCCCAGTTTAAGGGTGAGATTGCTTACAGAATTTGGTGCATCAGTTTGCACTTAAATGGCACTTCCCATGTGAGAATCCCAAAGTGCTTAACCTTAACCTTTGTGTGAAACTGAAGGATTCAGTATAAATCCCTTGTTAAAGGTAGAAAGTAAATCTCTGGCACAGCCAGAAATAGATCTCCAATCTCCTGATGCCCAGTCTGTTTCTTGACCAAAAGATCATCCTTCCTCATGGTTGCACTGTAGTTCTGTGCAGGCTTTGGCAACGTTTATTGTTGCAAGATTCAGAATTTATTTTTTGAAATATAAAGCAAATGCACACTGGTATTTTCTTACCATATGTGGACAAGAATTGCGTAATGCTAAATGTACTGATGATATTGTTCTATTCCTTAGATTGATGAACAAATTGAGAGCATGTTCAATTCAAAAAAGAGAGTGAAAGACATGGCAGCACCGGGAACATCTAATGTTCCTACACCAACAGCTGGTAATGCAGAAAAACTGGAAATTGCCAAAAGACTAGCTTTAAGAATTAATGCTCAGAAGAATCTTGGAGCAGAGGCACAAGTATTGGTCCCTTTTCACTTTAAGGTCACCCTCTCTACCAAGCAACCATTTTTTACTAAATGTTTAATAGAATGTATTTTTGTTTTACAGCCATGTTAACGTATTGTTCTATTTAGCTTCTTTATTCGGTACTTAATGGTAAATCATATGAGTCTTTGACTATCCGTTTTGTAATCTTTTTGATGTGACAAAATGCATTAGCACAAAGACTGGAACCCCGATCTGCTTTGACACAAAGGGGTTAATTATAACTAATTTTACCAGTAGTGACTGACGGATTTGTTAACATTATTAGAATTACAAAATATCTCTGTCTGCTGAAGTATGCAATATACAATACGTTTTCTCTTGGTTGTAGAACTCTGTAATTTAATTTAAAATGTATATGAACTTTAGTAGTAGTTTGCAGAAGATGGTTTTAGTTTTTGAAGTTTCCACAGTTGGAATCAACATAGTCACCATGAACCTCTGATTCTTAGTGGAGGGCTAGAGGGGAGGAGGAGATTTTGATCCAAATCTAACTCCTAGCTAACAGCAGTCAACTCACTGCTGCTATAAAGCATTAATAATGTTCAGCTGAAAGTTTAAGCTTTTTAGAATATATTGCTGTGAAAGTTATTATGTAGTTTCTTGTTTAGTGTTGGGGGATTTCAGTTCACAATCTATAATGTCTTGGATGAACTAAAGCAGTGGTTCTCGACCAGGGGTACACATACTCCTGGGGGTACACAGAGGTCTTCCAGAGGATACATCAACTCATCTAGATGTTTATCTAGTTGTACAACAGGCTACATAAAAACACTAGCGAAGTCAGTACAGACTAAAATTTCATACAGACAATGACTTGTTGCTCTATATATTATACACTGAAATGTAAGTACAATATTTATATTCCAATTGATTTATTTTATAATTATGTGGTAAAAATGAGAAAGCAAGCCGTTTTTCAGTAATAGTGTGCTATGACCCTTTTTTGTATTTTTGTCTGATTTTGTAAGCAAGTAGTTTTTAAGTGAGGTGAAACTTGGGGGTACCCAAGACAAATCAGACTCCTGAAAGGGGTACAGCAGTCTGGAAAGGTTGAGACCCACTGAACTAAAAAACCAAGTATATTGTCAGAGCAGTCCTTGTGCACTGCTGAGTTTTGATTTCCATCGCAGGAAGGAGTGTATGCTCATTTTCTTAGCTTAGTAATTGGACTAGAAGTGTGTGGGAAGAGTTAAAATTACATTTTGTTTTGCTGACTGCAGTCTGGAATGTCCATAGCATTTAGAGTTGAAAATGCAGCAAGGCTTTTTGGGGGGAGGGAAGTGTTGAAGCTGCCTACATGGACATTTACTATGTGTAGAAATGTAATGAAACTCTGGTGCTGAAAAGGCCAGGTTTTTATGGTGCTATCTCTGGGTACTTTGAAATGAATGTAGACTTGTTTCATTACAGGATGTGATGCAGCAGGCTACAAACGCTATCTTGAGAGGAGGCACAATTCAGGCTCCTACTGTATCTGCCAAAACTATTGCAGAGCAACTGGCTGAAAAGATAAATGCCAAGCTCAACTATGTGCCCATAGAAAAACAAGAGGAAGAAAAACAGGAGGGAGGACAAAGTGAATCGTTTAAGAGATATGAGGAGGAATTAGAGATCAATGACTTCCCACAGGCAAGCATCCATTTTTTCTTTAATCATATTTTAATGCCAATCACTTAACACAGTGCTTTACCTCAGATTCTTTGTACCAAGTTTATAATGTGTTGATTCCAACCGAGAGGTTTTAGCTGTATTTCAGATCTTTATCAGCTGTATCCAATAAAGCTCTGTGACATTAGCTCAGCTGTGTAATCTGCACCATGTATCTATTGACTTTCTTTCCTCGTGCAAGAGATGCATAATCTTTCAGACACATTCTAAGAATGTTCTTTACCACACAAAAACGTGAAGCTCTGCCCTTGACCTAATTTGCATCTAAATCTTATTGCATCTTCCTCTCTAATATTGAAAAGATCTGGCCTTTTTTTCTCTGGCCACACTACCATAATTCTGGTCTAGACCCATATGTCTTGATTATTAAATCTCTTCTGAAATTAAGATTGTTAGGGGAGATTTTCAGGGGCATAAAAAGTAGTTAGGCACCTAACTGCCATTTATGCTTCTAAAAAATCTCCACTGTAAGCCTCTTGGAACAGGGACTGTCTTTTGCTCTCTGTCTGTATGTCTAGCACAATGGGGCCCTGACTAGTCATTGGGCCTCTTGGTGCTATTCTAATACAAATAAGAAAGTTGCCTGACTAGTAGAATTAGTGAGAGAGATGTGAGTTTGCTCTTTCCCGCCAGCTCTTCCTAATGCAAGTACAGTAAATGTTTAGTATAATTGCATGAGTTTTCTCAATGGGACTCAAATTGCATGCACTTAATCACTGTATGGGCTATATCCTAACCCTGAGTTTGTTCTTCATATGCCCCTACCTTTGTACATTAGATCATAGTAGGTGATACACAAGATAACAGTTTGTCTCATTCTTGAAAAGAATTTGTAACAGTGTGTCTAAGAGATTATTTCTGTTGAAATCTCAATGTCTAAGTGAATGAAGTACTCTTTCTCACACTTCAGTCTTCGGGCTTGTAAACTTCCCACAGAGTGAAATGGAGACACTGGCGAGCTCTCTCCAGTGGTCCTGTACATCCATCATTCTCTTTCCTCCCCTTTCTTATTCCCCTGACATAAGGGGCAGCAGTGCTAATGTATTTTAGGTATACATTCGTTTGGACGTGGGTACTCATTTTTAAAAGAACTGATTAAAACACATTTGCCCTGAAACACATTTTCTGTTTAAATAGCTCTCACTATATAATTTTGTTGCTACATTTTTTGTCTCGAATGTCAGCTTAACCCTCTGATTTCTTTTATAAAATGTCTCTCACTGCCCCTCTTCCTATACGTTTTTCTTGTGCAGACTGCTAGGTGGAAGGTTACCTCCAAGGAAGCACTTCAGAGAATCAGTGAATATTCTGAAGCTGCCATTACAATCAGAGGAACGTATTTCCCTCCAGGCAAGGAGCCCAAGGAAGGAGAACGAAAAATTTACTTGGCTATAGAGAGTAAGTATGACAGATGTATTTAAATTTAAAAAACCGTCCCCAGTGCAGAGTAAAACTTGACGTGAGAATCCTTGTGATAGTAACCTTTGGGTCCTCACTCCAGACCATCTTTGGTTATGGAAAGGTGGGCACCCAGGGAAGCCACTCATTTGTCTCGATAGTTTTTGCCAGTTAGATCATGGAGCTGTAGTGATGTAGGTCCCAAAAAATCTTCACATGCTACCCAAAGTGAAAGTCCTTACATGGTGTATATGACAATATTCAAAAAAAAGAATAACAAGAAGAATTCACCTGGTGCTAAAAAGTGAGGGGAAACGGGGAGACCTTATTTGAGCTGCCATGAAGAAGAGACACAATGTTGCTGTTATCCAGCAGCACCCGGCAGGGATCATATCTGCTCAAATCTATTGTCTGCAACCTATGGCCCAATTCATCTTATGGTTACTCTGCCATGCTCTGTTGCTGACGTGAGTTTGTCTGCAAAGTAACCTGTTGTTTTAGGTGTTTGTGTGGGTAGTGTAAAATGTGACTTGAAATTTTAAGTATGTCCTTTGTTTAAAAAAACCATACCAGCCCTGGTAATAAACACTAGTAGACAGTTCAACAGCAAACTATTAAGATGTGTTTGGCAACGTACATGGTGCTACTAGAAGTAATTTGCAGTTTTACTTTTTAGGCTTTGTGTGTGGAAAAGATTCTAATATTTTGTTTCTTGTTCTGTCTCCAGGTGCCAATGAACTGGCTGTGCAGAAAGCAAAGGCAGAAATCACTAGGCTTATAAAAGAAGAACTTATCAGACTGGTAAGTGAAATATACTGTATTTCAGAAGAATGTGCTTGGCTTTTTAAAGCTTTACAAGAACACGTTTCAGAAAGTTTATGCCAGCGACAGAGCATAAATCTTTATTAATATCTGGGACTGGAAGCTGCAGATCTAAAATATGCTGTATTGGTGAAGAGCAAAGAAAATACATTTCTCTGTTTTGTGGGTCAACCCAGGCTCGTAGGTATTCTATGCCGACAAAAGACATCAACAGAATTTTGTGACATCACTATAAGGGCTAGTTCTTACCTAACAGAACAGTTCATTTCCTGGCTTTAGCTCCATCAAGCAGAGCTGGGCGTGTAACAGATTGGTTTTTAACTTTTCTTGTTTTTAGTTCTGTTTGTATTGTTGGGGTTTGTTTTTCTTTCTATCTGTTGCTCCATGCAGCACGCCCTGGAGCAGTAGTCGTCTGTATTCAGTTATCTTTCTCCTTGTTTTCAAAGCAGGGATTGCCCTGGGAGATTGAATTCTAAGTTCTTCAGAAGCACAAGCCTTGGCTTTTTGTGGAGCAACCTCCCATAATATTGCATTAGACTCGGGCAGAACTGCTGGTAGCAGACACTGCTCAACCGAACCACTTGTGGGTCCCGTTGTTCTTGTTGTGTCTTCATTGACCTAGTTTTGCTCTGTTTTTAAAATTGCTGAGCTCTACGTAAAAATTCCTTCCAACTGTTAAAGTTACTATTGCTGAGCAATTCTAATATTGAACGATTCACTGTTCACTTGTCTGTTTTCAACTAGTGCTGTGATTGACTTATTTTTCCTCTTTAATTGCAGCAAAATTCATACCAGCCAACCAACAAAGGAAGATACAAAGTTCTGTAAATATTTGGAGTAACCTGTCTGCCAGTGGCTGGTGTCTGACACTTCGTGGCTTCTGTTGTCTTTGGTGTTCACACTGCTTATTGTAAATTAAGATATTTTTATTTTTTCCTTGCTGACATTTTTAACACAAAATTGATATTTGCTGAGACATCTCATTCTCTTCACTAAGGTTAGCAGTCTTAAAGCAGACCAGCTTTGTCAGGGCATGATTTAATTGAAAAGTATAGTTTATATAGTTTTTCACTGTAAAACTACTGAATAAAACAGATTTTTAATTTACCTGACATTCTAGTATAATGTAAATTAAACGATTTCGGCTTTGCATTGGAATTTGTTAAGGTGTACTTACAGCTTCACATTTATTGGGTAGTTCACACCTTTTCAGTTTTTTGTGGAATAGTAAACCAGCCAATATAAGAGCAGAATTTTCCTCCCTAATCTGTAGCATCTCTGTGACCTATTCCATATGCATTCCCTCTGCAAAACCCCCATTGATGTCAGTGAGAGCCCTGTGCTGATCAGAGTTTAAAATTTTGTCCTAGAACAATTAGGGTTTAGTTTTTACAGATGTTTTTTTCCCCCTCATCCTTCTTTACTTCCTACTTTGCCTTTATCATTTGGGGAATAGAATAGTTAAATCTTTGGGTTTCTTGTAAAATGAGACATTTTGTAGTACAAAAATGGCTTTCAGATTTTCTCTAAATGTCAGCATTTTAGGATTTGATTTTGTTCCCATTCTTCAACCTTTAGTAAATAAAATAAAATCAAGCTCCGCAAAAGAGAAACCACTTTTGTAATCAAGTATAAAGTTCGACACATTTTTATAGTGTTATATATATACATTTAATGTGATTCTTTCAGGACTACTGTCCTTATACTATTAGAGAATGGCTTTAGACAAAAAATTAACTTTGTAGGTCGGCTCCACAAGCGTTGACCCTTATTGCAGTGGTGGAACGTGATCACTTCCTGGAGTCAGCTTTTTTTAACCCACTTTTCCCTCATCCCCAGAAGCCATTAACATTTCACATTGTTACTGTCAAGATTTAATTTTTTTTTAGCCTCTTGTCTTATCTGTAACCAAAGTTACTGATTGTTGAGTCGTTCTAGCAGCTGAAAAAGCTTTCAAGAAGATAAACTTACAAGGCTTTTTGTAGAAAGCTTTTCTGACCTGACATTGTGGAGGACAAAATATAATTTTAAAATAGCTATGTGTATGTACTGCTTTAACCCTAGTGAAGAACAAATCAAATCCTTGCATCATGGTTATAAATTCATTTTTTCCAAAAATCAAATATTTTGAAGTCCACTCCGGTTTTGAGATACAAAATAAATTTGTAGATTTAGAAGAAAACACTGGCCATATCCACTAAGCACTATACATTTACTCTGCCAGGAACAACCTTAATACGATACCTAAGAAAGTTTAAAAACAAAAACAAAAAAACCCTGAATGGAGCCAGAAGTAGCGCATATAAGAAAATCTTCTTAAAGTTCAAACAAAACCTCAGATATTTTCAAAATCAGATTCCCTTTAAATGTTTCAGGCTTCACAATTTAGTTAGGATTATTTATTATGTAAGATGTTTCACACAGTTTGTGCTGACTTGTCTAACTTTTTGACAGTGCTGTAAATTGCGATGTCCCCCAGAGTTGTGGTGGGTTTTGATATGTTTGGTGTAGAGCACTTTCAGGTTCAGGCATTCTGTACTTTTTTTTTTTTTTAAACGTCTTTGGTTTGAAATTTCTGTGATGATATCTACTGAGCAAAGCTCTGATAGACATACTTCTGTGATTTCCAGCTCAACGCTGTTGGATTTTCAGCGAGGTTGGAAAATGTACAATCTTCCAAGGTTTTTTAAATGCAATGTCAATATTCATATTTTTTTAATTCCTCTAAAAATAAAAATAATTTCAATGTGTTTTTCTGAAATGCTCTCTCTGATGATGTGTTTTCTGCCCTGTTTGCTATGCCTCTGCACTTGTTCTGCTGCAGCTCTGTGCTCACTAAGGGTACGTCTACACTTACCTCCGGGTCCGGCGGCAGGCAATCGATGTTCTGGGATCGATCCCGGAAGTGCTCGCCGTCGACGCCGGTACTTCAGCTCGGCGAGAGGAGTACGCGGCATCGACGGGGGAGCCTCCCTGCCGCGTCTGGACCCGCGGTAAGTTCGAACTAAGGTACTTCGAATTCAGCTACGTTAATAACGTAGCTGAATTTGCGTACCTTAGTCCGAAGTGGGGGGTTAGTGGGGACCAGGCCTAATTGTAGCTGCTCCTTTAAGGGGAGGGAAACATGTGCACTACCATTACATTAGAATCTTTGTTAGGCATGTAATGAAAAGCAGGAGGACAGACACACTAGACAGTAAAACTGCTGCAATAGAAACATCACTGAAGGAACTTGGGATGGGGAGGGTCAGCAAATACGCAAGAGAGGAAAAAAATGAGAAACTCTTAAGGAAAAAAGAGAAATTGAAATGAAGAGAAAAAAGCTATAGTGGCAACAAGACGAAGAATAAAAGAATATGGAGGAAAACAATGAAGTAAAATTGTTGCATTAAATCTTTCTTCCTAATTGTTTTTGTGCTCATGGAAATGGACCCAGCTCTCTGATAACCATAACATGTCTGCTGCTTCCTTGGGGGATGCACCCCCTTTCAGATGCTGGAAGAGAACTGGAACTGTATTTTTTAATAATAATTAAAAAAAGGCAATATAATAGAGCAATATACCCTTTTTGCTCTGTTATCTAACACACTTTCCGAAGAGTGTGTGTTCCCAACTCCCTATATTTTCCTTACAGTTTTGGTGTTAGAGTAACCAAAACATCCTGCAGCGATTGTATTTTGGGCAGAAATATCAAAAAGTGATGCTGGATAATAAACTTTTAAATGTTTTGCTGTAATCCTATTTTGTCAGCAGCTACTAGCCATGGGTTCCTCTTCTTGTGGCATCTCTTGTCCTGACTAGTGGTAGATCCAGGATGCCTTATATACTTACCAGCTATTCTATAGTGTGTGCAGTGCAGAAATATCCCTCCTGATATTGACTAACCACTGGTTGTGAGGGTTAGATTGTGATTTTAAGGCTATGTCTACACTACAAAACTAAGTCAAGTTAAGTTGATGTACAGCCACCACAATAATTAAAGCAGTGTTTCATGTCCACGCTATGCTCCTCCTGTTGGTGATGTGCGTCCTCACCAGGAATGCTTCCACTGACTAACTGTATGGGGCACAAGCCCCAAGGCCCCAGGGCTGACAGCCAACAGGCGATGTAAGTAATGATGTCTACACGGACACTGTGTTGTCCTAACTACATCCTAAGTGCTATGCCTCTTGCAGAGGTGGAGTTACTCTGTGTACTGGGCAATTTACATTGGTGGGAGCTACATTTAGTGTGGATGCTTACAGAGTTAGATCAATGTAAGGCACCTTACATTGATCTAACTCTAGTGTAGACCAGCCCTAAGTGCCTGTGCAATGGAGTGAAAGGCGAACAAGCACATCCCTTACACCTGTATGTTGGCTACATGGACCTTGGGTCGCTGGGTCCACAGGAGTAAGCAGGTGCTGTACGTCCACTTCCTCCCTGCACCTCCTTCCCAGCAGCTGAGTGGCAAATTGGCAGAGCCTTAGCTCCACTGGCTGGCCAGCGCAATGGGACTTGCGTAGTGGGAGTCACAATTTGCTGCTGGTTTTGGCTGGAACCTAATTCTTGCTCTCCAATCCTGAGTAGGGAGGAATTGTGCATCAGTTGGATGTTGGAGTCACAATACCACATGAGACTATTGAGGGCGGTTAAGTTTATGCACTCCTTGCTCACAGCTGGGCCTGTTTTATTATTTGTATTGTAGCAGTGCCTAAGAGCCCCAGGCTGAGACCAGGACTCCATCGTATTAGGTGCTGAGCAAACACAAGCAAAAGGAGGGTTCCAATCCTTTTACTTTGTCAGAAACACTGACTGGGCTTGTGCACGTAAGAAGTCACATTAGTGGATTTTTCAGAATACATCAAAATGGGTGTCTGAATACAAGAATAGCATTGGCTCCAATGACTGCATTAGAGGCAGCTAATTACATGATCTGCATCTGTTCCTGAGGAGGTATGAGCACAAGAGCTACCCCTCTGCTTTGCTTTCAAGTTGTGTACAGGGGGTTGTACCTTCGTGAGCACAGCAGTGCAACAGAAATGTGAAAATGGTGACATGCTCAGAATGGTGCGATGTAACTTGCAGTATATATAAATTGCACAGGCCCTTCCCCAAAGAACTAATTGCACTCAAGATGCAGCAAAGGGGGGTGGGGGAGCTTGGGAAAGGATTCAAAGGAGGGGTGACGTGGTCAGATTGATGCTCTTGGCATCTGCTTTGTATTTTATAGGAGGTGGACGATGTGAGTGTCGGGAAGAAGCTGCCGATATTAAGATGGGAGACAGCAAAAATCAGCACAACTGTGTTTGCTTTCTGGAGAAATACTTTGATTTTATAGTGGTAGGGGTCTTTCTGCTGGATGATTCCAAGAGGCATCCTGGCATTCTGTGGCCTAAAGGTTATGGCAGCTGTCCTGGGACACAATACATTGCATATGTTTAATAATGAATGTTAGAGTAATCAAGAAGTGCAGCAGTTTTAAGATTTTAAATTAAAAAAATCTTGCAGTGGTCACAAGAGTGATTTTTGTGTTTCACCACTCCAGTGAGTAGGGTTTTTGGTGGTGGTGTTTTGGTTGTTTTTTTTAAACCATTAATATCTGCTGCCCCATGACACTACAAAGCTTCAAAAGTAAAAAATATTTTTTATAGAAACCTAAGAGTCTGTGACTCTACTCAGATTACAGTTTAGCTTGTCATATGGTAGCAAAATTAAATCTGTGCTTATGCACCTAAGCAGAAATTGAAGAAAAGTCTCATTTCCTAGCCCTTCCTTCGTGTAACTTGTGAATAAGGAACTTAGGAAGAATGGCTTGTGATTAAGCCAATGGACTCAGAGGGTCTGGGTCTGGCATTGCTAAAGACTGGAGGATAGGTCCATCAATGGCTATTAGCCAGGATGGGCAGGGATGGTGTCCCTCGCCTCTGTTTGCCAGACGCTGGGAATGGGCGACGGGATGGCTCACTTGATTACCTGTTCTGTTCATTCCCTCTGGGGCACCTGGCATTGGCCACTGTCAGAAGGCAGGATACTGGGCTAGATAGACCTTTAGTCTAACCCAGTATGGCCGTTCTTATGTATGACCTGGAGTCAATTAATAATCTCTGTGGCACAATTTATCTGTAAAACAGATACCACCACCCTACTTCTCCTGGGGGTTATGAGAATAAATTCATTGTTTGTGAGACACTCAGATACTATGATGGTGTGGGCCATAAAAGCATCAGTGTAGCATACTGTACAGAACTGATTGTGCTATTGCCACTCACATAACAGCTATTTTCAGGGAAGCCAAAAAGTAAAACTCCTCTATTATTTTTCTGATTCCCCCAATCTCCTAGAAAAATCATTTTGTTAGTCAATATCTGTTTTCCATCTCAAACAGCCCTAACCAGTTGCTTAACTTCCTGCCCTGGATATCTAATATTCAGTCCATATAAACAGCTGCCATGTTTTTATCACAGAAGCACCTGAATTTCAATTATGAGGTGAAGTGATTCCTATTTTAGCACGTGCCCAGGCTCATCATTTTCTAATATTCACCTTTTGAGTTGAAATTTTCTGTATCCTTATACTGTGCCGTGCCATAGCATCTGAGTGCTATGCTCTGCCTCGGGCGCACAGTGAGGGTTTTTTAGCAGAAAGTTCATCTGTCTGTATTAAAAAAACAATACAGTCCTCCAAAGCCCTGCACATGCACGTTGGCATAGAGCTACCACAAGGCTGCTCCAAATATGGATGAAGTTTAAAACCTAGCGTGCCAATGGTCCCTCGCTAGTGCCTTTGTTTGATTTAAGAGAACTTAATTTAACAGAGAAATTATTATTTAGAAAATCACATACTGAGCATGTTCAGTAGAAAACACTTAAACACAATGGTGCTGCACATGTGTGTGGCTGCTGGAGCGCACTATTGTTGGTCAATGAACTAGCTCCAGAATTTCTTTTCTCTTTAAAATAAACCAAGAGACTTAAATGCAGAAAGCTGTGTCCATGCAACATGAAGGTTGCACAGGGAGAATCCCAAAAGATGGGAAATGTAAATGTGGGCATGCTCCATTGCTAACATTCGTTGAGTAGATGCAGCCATGTATTCCATGTGGGTGTGCATGCCCTGCGCATCGGAGCCAGAGAACTTTGCCTAGCAGTACCCGTAGGGGTTGCACTCATGCCCTGCAGCCATAGTCGCTCCCCTGGCTGTATAAAGGTGGCACCACCCTGGCTACTTCAGTACCTTCTCACTGCCTGTGGCTAGAGTCAGAGCTCTGTGTGAAGTTTTCACCTCACACTGTTGCACTCAGTTTTCTGAGAACTTTTTTTGTATATGGTGGTAGTAGTACCTTAGGGTTAGTTTAAAGTTAGTTTAGTTAGTAGTAGTTGGCTCCATTGTGTGATGCCCTCATGAGGGTTCAAGCATTGTTCCTCATATAGGGCTATCTGCAATAGTGCTCCCCATATGAGGTGCTTGTTGTGTGTTGGCAAGGGACACATTAAAGAGCAGTGCTCCATCTGCAAGTGATTCATCAAGAGGACTCGGGTGACAAGAGACTTGAAGCAGCATCTTCTGGAGCAGGCCATGAGACCCGTTTTGGCACTGAGACCCTTGTCTGACTCTGGTTCTGGCCATGGGTTATCAGTTGAGTCCAGTACTGACAATGCTGGCACCCACGCTGACCATCTCCATGGTGACAGCATATGAGGTGGCTTCAGACCTGCTTTGCCTCTCAGTCCCAGACTCTCTGCTGGTTCAGGAGTTTTCTGGTGCTATGGCTTCTAACGG